AGAAAAAATAACGCCGATTTATTTTACTCGGAAGAAGAATACAAATCGAATGACTAGAAATGAATGACTCACTAGTTGGTGTTTCCTATCGACCTACCGATCAATCGACCTAATGGGAATTTTGTTTCTCATTGCGTGAATTCTATGGATTCGATCAGTTCAATAGGAAAAAAATCCCATTGGATCTATCGATCAGTTTGCCGATCCGGTCGATCCAACAGGAAACCAACACTCATCAAAATCGGTTTCATCGTTTAGGCCATTCATATCAGTGGAATTGACTTACATCCAGACACATATATGTAAATAGAAACATACAACATCCTGATCGAGTCAACAAAAAACCAAAAGTGATCACAAATTCAACTTTCATCGGATGTCGCATCAGCGCTCCGGAATGTGTTTACGTGTATATATGTTTGTATTTTTATTTGTTGCGTTCAGATGCAACATATATTGAGTCACGTGTCCTATGTTGTAAAACTACGCTACGCTAAAATGTCGTTTCAAGATTTACAATTTTTAAAACAGTTTTTAGGTCCAAATAATACGAAAAATGTTTAACATAGCGGTCAACGATAAAAGTGTTATCATTAGGGAAATGATAAAATTATATTAAAGTTTTACGTTTCTGTTATAATTCGATATTTAAATCAATTTGTTAATACTCGTATAACTGTTCCAATTTTGAAAGTATTAAATAATATTACGCACTCTATAAAATAAAGTATCAAAGTGGGGCAATCGCGGTCAACTTTACAGCAGTTTGTCGTTCGCCCAACTCCGTGGCTCAGGAGATTTTATATCTGGTTATTTTTATAACCTTTATTCTACATTTTCTTCGGAACGTTTATTTTAAGGCGATAGATTAAGTAGACAGTTCAGGAACTTTTCTTTCACACCAACAAACTGTCAGCTTAACTAATTAATTTTACATTTTTGTAATATACTTTCAAAATGTGTAATTATTTTGTATGACAGATATCAAATAGCTAAGATTATATTCAGATAGGCTTATTATTTAGTAGGTACCTGGAAAGATGTCGGGGTTTTTAAACATTTTTAAAATTTTGCGTAGGTAGTTTTAAATTTTTTTCGGAGCGAACAAGTATTTATTTTTCCCCTTAACGATACAAGTTTAGATCTGGGTACTGTCTGTAAATGCGTATCATTAAAAAATATCATGAAAATATTGTTAAATCCTGAAATTAATCATAGACATCTAAAACTATCGGATGAAGAATGTTTTTAAACATTCTCATGTTTTAATTGTGTCGTAAATGCAGTGTTAATTTGTCTTGCTACTTTCAGTGGAAGACTAGTGACACGGTTTTGTGAATGTTACGCTTTGTATGTTTTTGCTTTGTGAGTTAGCGAGTGACATTTTATCGAAGGGCTCTTAGTTGGAATGGAGTGAACTGACGTGTAATGTGGCGTACATTTCACAGGTATGTTAACACAAACTCAATAGTTAAATAGAAAGTTACAACGAATAGAGCTTAATACGAGAGTTAAATACCGTTTACACTTTATGGTGCGTCATTCAATCGCAAAATTTTCCGATTTTTATATTCAAAATTTCACCTCACGTTTTAGCTCACGGTCTTGTTATTCGAAAGGTAACAACCGACTATTATGTAGTTGTACATGGTCAGAAATATAAATAATCAGTAAGTGGTCAAGGTCATTTAATGACGTCATTAAATTCGATACACTAAGTCAAGATGCCACCTATAGATGCGTTGTTTAAAAATAAAATGTACCGTACACCTACCATAACAGAAAATAAGTAAATTCATGTAGATTATCATTTAGCACGGTCGTTGTATATATAACATTTCCATTCTACATATGTAGATGTTTGTTGTGAACTGGGCGAGATTTCTACAACTCCCTTTTTTTGTCAAATAGGGAGAGAAATTAATAGGCTTATATGAGATTGTAATGTGCTGACTTTAGCGCCCCTATACCAATCCAGTGCCCTGGGCTGTCGCCCATCCGCGCCCTGGCCCTACTCTAACGCCCCCGCTGCGGGTAACCAAGTAAAATCTGGAGTTGGGCTTTAGATTGTCACGTACGAGTATTAATATAAGCGATACTATAGTTCATTTTTTTTTTCAAATTAATATGTTAGATATTTCTAAATATATTTCAGTTGATAAGGGTATAATTAAAGCAACGTGATGTAACATAAAACAGAGTATCTTATGGACGCTTAAAGGCCTATTTAGTTGCACGCTTTAGATAGCTTAGAGAACGGACACGAAAAATATTTATACAAAGTCGGAACATGTTACGTAAACAAACTGGCTGTTTGTTTCTGCGATCGATATTTACCAATATGCAGTGGTTCAACGAGGTTGTTACACTAGATTAGTTACTAGTAACTATGTATATATCTAGGCCATAGATATCTAATCTAATACCTAATTGAGAACACGAAGGTGAGGCAAAAAAAGGCTTTTTGTTGCGGTAAATCCCAATATTGTTATAAGTTAAAATAACATTTAGAAAATAGACTCGGTTTGACATCTTTGCATAAAACACTCTTTATTTAACAATACTCTATCTATGCTTAAGACGAACCAAAGTTATCGGTAAAGATTCCTCTTCATTTTGAAATAGGCTAGAAGCCGTAAAATACCTTTGCTTGTTTACTCTACTCTAAAAATATTAAAAAAAATACACTTTATAAAATGGTTTTAAATAAACACCGTTGACAGTTAACAATTTGAACATTTAGCACCTTTTGTAACTCGGGTGATTAAACTTTGAATAACCTAACTGTATTGTTTTGTACTAAAGTAGAACCTGAAATTACTTCAATAATTTGACTTCCCGATTTGATAGGATTACATTTTAATCACAGTTGTAATTGTTGTTTTGTTACGTTGTTGCTTTTATTTATTTTATAATATTAACTTATTGTTGTATTGTTATAATTAACATCTAGTTGTTGTTATAAATAAGATATTTTTTTAAATGAGGTTTGTTCTGTAACTTCTTTGGGCAGCTTCTTCGCTATTTCGACGAATTCTGCTGGCAGCTTACAAAAATAAACAAAAAATTAAATTGGTAATTGCTAAGGTATTATGTATTGTTCCAATTAAAATTATATTCCAATTAATATTACATTGTATATTGTCTTAGTCGATATAAGAGACGATTAAATTAACAATAGTAGCTCGTTTTGAAAGAACCGTTTGGAAATTCATCACGATCATAGTTATCAAAAATAGCCCAGTTACCAATCGCACATTTCCTTTCGAGCCATTAATTACTTAGCAGCCAATTTCTCATACTAAGAGATAACCTCTGTGACTAATAAGGCTCTAGCGGCTGAACACTGAAACGAATCTTAAACACTTCGCTTCGTAAACGCCGCCTACAATCTGACAGATGTCAACATTTTGGAGTTTAGGCGTGACTTTACCATATCTATATCTATACTCTATACTATTACAATAAAGCGTAAACCGACACTAATTTGTTGCCTAAGATGTCAGCAATTGCAGCATATTTTTAATAATTCTTTTTTTAATAAAAAGCCCTAGACTTACGTCACGTTTTTAAAATTGGGGTAAATTTTTTGGATAAAAGCCCTAATGTGGGAAAGAGACCATAAGTTGCTGCCGACATCAAGGAAGCAAGATTGCCAAGGTTTGTCATGTCATGTAATTTTGACATTTGCTATTGATAATTTGACAAATGTAAACAATAAAAATAAAACAATTTTCATAATTTTATGCGGATTAAGACGCACGAGAACAGCTAGTTTTTAATAATAATAACATATTCAAATGTCGTTTTAGTATTCAGTCTTAGGTGGTGTTTATATGCACAAGTTTTCAAACTCAGACGAGTTTATGCATTTCATTAAATTAAAGTATATCATGGATATGGAAGGTGCTTTAAGGAGGCTAGATTACATAACATTTAATGTAACCGAAGCTTTCGCGCGAAATTTTTTGTAATGATTGCATGATCAATCGTTGATGTTGTTTTATTTCGGATTTCCTATAGAATTAAAATGTACCTAACCTTATTCTAGTCTAGATAACTTGAATCTACGTTTGTTTTATTTAATGTTGCATGTAATTAGGATTTCGTTATCATAACAATATGTTGTGCAAAATAATTCATCACTCATTTTCGAAGTATTATCGCGATCCTAGTATTACTACAACAAGGACACCATACGATATCTTAGAAATACCTCTTGAGAATGCGGTAATAGTCAAACTTTGTTCCGTTGTAGCTCCGTCCCGCCTCATAACATCAAAAAGAAATAAAAAGTATCCCTGATTCACCATTGGAGGAGCCTAATGGAAACGCAGAACAGTATAAAAATAAAAATGTATTTTACAAAGCGTGTCGGAATTTCATTTTTGACGACAATTGTTTTAACTGTCGATGAATCCGAGCCGTGGATGACGGCTTTGTTGGAAAATTATAAACAGTTCGGACTGGACCGGACCGGCAATGTCGTTTGGTGATTGTAAACATGTGGCTAATGCTCGTATATCGTTCAAATGTATTATCACATTGTAAAACGTATAATTACATTGAAATGTGTACAGGGATACATAAGTAGATTACAGAAAATAGTAAACAATTTCGTTGTAGTTACGTTTTTTGTCACAGCATTTTCGTTCTAATATTATTGTCTTAATTATTTGAAAACGTTTATACATATAAATTCCTACATAATGTAAACAAAAATGGTTTTGAGTAAATCATAAAATTTTGCTTTATGAGATTGATTTTTATCTTTTAAACATTTTTGTTAAAAAGTTAACTAAATCAAATAAGATAGTAACAGATAACGTTAACATAAATATACATAAACTTGTAGAATATCGTTTCGTTTGACTAATATAAAAACTAACTTTGGTCCAAAAAAAATTATCACAACGAATATCCAACATGAATTGAATTTAACATAAACCATCACCCAAAGGATAAAAAACATGAAAACGTAAACACTGATTTTTACTTACGTGAAAACTATTTTTTCAGCACTTGTTTCTTTGTATTGAATCGTTGAATGGTGTAGTAAAAAGTTGTTAATAAAATATCACTTAAAGCGGACGTATGCTGATTTTTAAGTCATAATACACGAGCGACGTGGGATCGGGTCGGGTGTACGTTTTGACGGACGCGTCGATAGCCGGTGAAGGCGCGCGCTCGCCGGCGATGGCGGGTCGCGGAGTATTGGCGGAGCGGTGCGCGCGCACCGGCCGCCTGCCCGCAGCCCGCTCGCGCATGCCCCTTGCCTGCACTGCATTGACGGTGTAACAGTGTGACGGCCTGACACCATGGTGGCCATGACGCAAGCCCTATGCACTCGCAAGCTGCATCGTGTACAACTAAAATGTTATGTATATTTTATAGTCATCTATAAAGACTGTTTTTCGTAAAATGTACTTGCGATACGATGTCTCCCCCTTTTACCTGCGATGTTTTCTTATCGGAGTGACCACTGATATGGCTATTCTTCCATTCAATGCTCTGAGCTCTAAGTATGAAATTCATTGCAGGAGTGTGTTCATCTGTGAACCATAGGCGATTGAACATAGAACCTTGTTGGTCATATCAAATTTCTTAAAACTGATTTATCTTTTACCTTTGTAAATAAAAATTAACGTTTTATATTTGGTTCTATGTATGGCTGAATTCCTCCATTCAGCCCGAAATGAAATTTCTCCTAAAAAAATATTTTTATCCATCCACGATGTTCTCTTGATGATTGAATGAACAGTTGCTTGGCATTTTGAAGTGGAAAAGAGTTGTAACCGCTAATCCGCTCGTCAAGGGACTGATTAAAATAATAATCGCATATTATGTCTATGACGCCCTTTATAAGCAAAAGAATTGATGTTTTTGTTCATAATTATTATATCACCGTAGAAATAAACGGTTGTACTTACTGAGATGGTTTATAGAACTTTACTATTAGTATAATGTTCCCATGAGACTTGTCAATCGAAAGATTTTATTTAATAATTAGAAGAAAGACATATAGGTATAACTTCTTTATTCTATGAGAAAAAACATATTGACAATTGTTTTTTGGTTTCCGAAATATTCATGGCGTGGCATGCAACTTCACCGCCAAAAGATATTCGTAAATAGGGTAAAACTCTTAGAATGGCTGGGTTTTTCATACTATACTATCATGAAAATTAAAAAACCTGTTATGTTAATTATATCGACATATAGTTTTTAATTTCCAATTTACATAAATTTTATAAAATTTTAACTTCCATATGAAGCTACCACATTTAATTCAACTTGATAAAAATAATGGACAGACATTAATATTCTAAATTCAAAATGCTAACAATTTATTCAACGGAATTTGTTGAAAGATTACTCTAACAATTCCATTAACAAACAGTTATACTATTCTGTACCAATTACTGTGAAAGAAGAAGAGTTTTTATATCATAGTAGATAAAAGCAGTGCATGTACGAATGCATACGTTACGCAAGCTGGTCACGCCTCCTGAATCATGACGGATGTAAACGCTTTTGTTTTAAACCTACGCCGAAGGTCCAACTGTGGTAACAAAAACTAGTTACACTAGGTATTTAATTTCCTTTTTACTGTACGACTTTAGATTAGCAAGAAATTAAAACTTTCCCAACTCATAGGACATTAATGTCTTTCTCGGTTTTTTATGTCCGTCAATAATGTTTTTGGTCTCACCCGACTTTAGGCCGATTTTAATGAGTAAGGTGTCATTCGATTCGCATTTTCTAACTCTTATTAAAAATTAATTATCGTTTCTATTACGGCTTGTCTCGTGCGCACGCGTCGCTACGCTACGCTCCATTGATATGATAAAATACCTCTGTAGTTTACTATCGTTATAAAAATATAATCATCATCTCCCCTGCCTTATCCTACTCCTGTAGGGTCGGCGCACCGGGTTTTCGTCCTCCAAAGCACTCTATCATCCGTCATCTCAATCATCACTCCCTTCTTGATCATGTCACCTTTCACGCAATCCATCCGTCTCTTTATAGATGTTTATTATTAATATTAGCTAATATTACCGAATAAAAAATAGTAATAGTAGCATCCTGAAAAGTCTCTAAAATGGCCCGTACCAATGGTTATTTTAAAACATTATAAGTTAAAAATAGCTTACAAAAATTGGTAAAGTAGCGATGGGTTGTTCATCTGTCATTTTGATCTTTTGCTTTTAAGCCGCTAACGGCGCTTGAATTAAATAAAATGTCGATCAATTTGCATGGTTTGGTTACTATGATTTTTATATCTGGTCATAATTGTACAAAATCATAAGTTTTCTCTGCTTTTAAAAGTTTATTTTTGCTATGTATAGGAGAATCCTCAAAAAATTCGTTTAATTTTATTTAATTCGTTTAATGTTTCGAATTAGATCCTTTTATAAACTACTTACAATGTTATCATTGTCCTTCCTGTTAAGTGTGTGAGAAATGAAATATTACAATCGATTTGAACTGTCTATTTCAACTATATTTTATAAATAACGCTTACGAATGAAAGTGGTTTGTATACTATTAGTAATTATTTCAACCGTCGTGAGGCATCACCTTTGGTATTATGTTGAAGGTTTGTTCACAAGGCATGCAGTTTTGCAAGACATGACCTTTTTGCCACATACAGTAGATTGCTTATTTCATGCATTAACTGCTAATTTAACCACTATTATACGATATCACTTTAGTTTAACAATTTTTACAAAATAACTGAAGAAATTAAAGAGCTTAATGTACAGAATTTAACGTAAAATAACTAATTATTCTAATATAAATTTTGCCTGCGACTTCGACCGCGCGTAATTTAGAAAATAACCTAGTAAGTAGTCTGTGTTCTTCTGGACAATGTTTTACATTTTTGACTTTCATCCATATATGGCCATTTTGGAGATACCTCCAAACATCCATCCAAACTTCTGTATTTATATTAGTAAGACAAGCAATAAGCAAGTATGATAGTATGATTAAAGTGTAAGAATGTGAAATGATAATATTTTCGGTGGCATACGTACGGAGTACGGACAGGTGCAGAGATCTTAATCTTAGATCAATTTGTTGGTTGGCAACTTTGCTTCTGAGTTTACGCGGTCACGTAATCTTATCTTTAAATGATTATCTATTAATTATCTTATTTTAAATAAGATCAAAAATGATAGTAAAGTTTTAGTAAGCCTTTAAATTAAAATTATTGTAAAGTGGGTCAATCTTTATGATTTTATAATGATTAAAGGTATCCTCCCAGTGAGTAGTTTTTATTTTATACTAATTTCCCTGTTCCATTTCTACATTCATATAATTTCAGTTTACATTTCACGTTTCCTTATTCCATGTTTTTATAATCATGAACACATTTTATTATTATATTTAACTCGTGTAAGCCATTATTATGAAATTTCCAAGCGCCTGCCGAAATATGAGCGGTGTTTTTTTTTATCTATTCTATACATATAACATTGGATTGCCTGTTTGTAAAATCAAAAGAAAAATTACAGATTTCGGAAAGATGATGTATTTGCGTTGTTGATAGCGATAATCGCATTTAATTTTTTTTTGTCTGTCTGTCCACAAGTCACGTTTGTTCCGGGTAATATCCGAAATGGCTGGGCCGATTTCGACCGGACTTTCACTGAAGGGTAGCTGACATAGACGGACTACTATGTTATAGGCTTTTTTGTCTTAATATTGCGTGGACGAAGTCGTGAGCAGCAGCTAATAGTTTTAGTTTTTATATTTTCGTAGCATGATATAGGCATCATACTAACAAATGCGAAAGTATGGATGGATGTTTGCTAGTACGTATCTCGAGTACGATGTAGAACATATAAGCTACCGAAGCCGCAGTCAATACCTAGTATGTCTTAATTCTATAATCTTAGATAGTCTTATTCCTTAATCAAATACACTTATCTATACTAATCTTTTTACAAGGTTTGTTGTGTAACAGTTGAAATAAAATATACACAAAATTAACCATTGCTATTTATTTCTTTCCCTGAAATGAGACACACAAAATAATTTAAATCCCACATTAAATACACTGGCCAACAGTGCTATTGTGACAAAATAACATATTACATAGTGGAGCTCCGTCTTAAATCATCCGAAAGTATTATTCTGTAATAAACTTAAAACTAAGCCACAATTCCCAAATGCAAATTAAATTCTATTCAATATTTAGTAACTTTAAATGAAAATTTGTCAAACTTTGTGATTTATACATCTCCTTATATAAATGTAACATTATTGAAACCATAATAAATGGATCATAGTATTTTGAGTCCCTTAGAGATGCCTTATCACTGCGATAATTTCCATTTGAAAGTTTCAAAGTTATCCAACTTGACTGTTGATTTTATAAATCACATACATATTTATTCATTGCTAAACACTTCATATATATTAGCGCCTAACAGTTTCATCTTGTCATTCAAAGTCAATTGTTGAGTTAACATATCTGGAATGTTAGATTTACCCTTACTCGTGTTCTTTGTAATCAGCTCATTTATAGCTGGTAGTAATTTTACAAAATGAATTTCAACTTTGTTAACATCAACAAAGTCTCTACTGGCACCTAGTTTCAACGCTCCGTTAGTTATCACATGATCTTCCGCAACTTCTAAATGATTTTTGTTCATTGGCACAAATTTGGCTGCAAATAAATTGGCAACTTCATCTACAACAGTTGAAAAGCATCTTGTAACAGATGACATTGTTACCGATGAAACCTCATCACTTTCTAAAACATCCATTGTCTCTTTCACAAGTGCATCTAACTTGCCATCAGTTATTTCAGTATGTTGCACTAGATAGTGAACCATTTTTTTCACAGGGTCCCCATCAGATGTATCTGTACATAATATAGTCTGTATAGACCAGAACATTTGCTCAACTTCTTGTAATGTTATCTTCTTTTTCAATGAAATTGGTTCCACAACCCTTTTAACAGCCTTCTCTATCTGTTTTACTAAATCTTCTACTCCTTGTCCAACAAAATGGTGGCACAAAGACAGGTACTTAGCTTGTAACTCACTACTTATTTGAGGTCCTTGCTCATCTACCGAGTCACGGTACAAATAACCACCAACAATATTCAATTGAACTCTCAAAGTGACTTGAAGTATAGATAAAGCATATGCCAAAACACAAATCCTAGTGAATATCATAACTTTCATCTGTTCCCATAACAATAGTTTATTTTCTGGATTGTCCTTCAGTTTTTGTACAATTTCTTCAGTATTTAATATACCTAAAATACTTTCAGACACAATCTTCGATAAAGAAAGAATAGTCTGATTGCATGTACGTTCAGTACTTTCAAAGTGTTGTTTCTTACGTGTCATTTCAAAGAACTTTTTGGCTTCTTTCTCCTGCCATTCTCTTAGCTTCTTCTGGGCGTAGCTCATTAATAAGTACAATGAACCAAAGACCGCACCTGTCACAAAGAACTTCCGTCTGTGACGGTGCAAGAAGTTTCTGACTGTAGAAAACATTATGAGTAATATATAGTTTTATTATTACTGGAATTCAAGAGGTGCTTCAGAACGATATTTGGTAGTGTTCATGAGACGCCTAGTTATGAAAGTTGTGGCATCAATAAACCTTTCAACGCAGTTCATGATGCATGTTTCAGTTTTTGAATCAAGACGGTTTGACGGCCGTCCCATACATGTCTCCCAGCAAGTGTCTGTCAAACCATGCACCAGCACCTGAAATGTAAAAAAAAGTTGATTATTATTTTTTCAGATATGGCTGATAGATTATGGGAAGGGAGTACATAATACACTGAACCGTCTTAGGGGAAAGGGCCACCAAAAGTCAAAGATGTTGCATACTTTTGTGTTTTTTTGCAGTATGGCCTATACATATTCTGCTTTTTATTAACACTTAAGGCGCCATGTGTATCTTTTTGTCAGTTTCTAGAATACTGTGTATTCAAACAAAAGAAAAGATTGTATTTTTTTAAATGCTCACTTATGGTCTGTTGCTGAGGTTGTTAATGACTGTAGTTTTTTGTATTACCAATAATTTTAAAGCCTTTATTGAAGTGTAATAATTAATAACATAAAGGAAAAATATAACATCTTATCATTTTCCTGTTGCTCTATTTACTTGAGTTTCAACATTTGTATTAATCAAGTATGCTGCTTTGTTTCGGTAACTAGTAATTGTATTGGAACAAATACAACAAAATGTATTGGAAGTGTTTTAGTCTATTTTAAATTAATTGTAAATGTTACTTTTTGTAAATATGTTTGATTTTTAATTGGCATTACATCAAGTTATTGTTAAGATGTTATTATATATACTGTTTGAAATGTTATAATGCATTAATTAAATTTTGTCCCTTTTTGTTTTTATATGTTCAAGTATCTCATTAACTTGTAATATTCTTCCATAAAGACTGAGTTTAGGTGTCCTTTTATAGTATAAAACACAAATAAAACAAAAATCATATTAAAAGTGAAATTAATTTATAATTTAAAGTCTATGTGGTAAAACAAAAAAGGTGTAAAGAATAATTTAAAAGCAAACAATAGGGAATTTAAAAACTAAAAAACCTATATATGCAAATAATTTAGTAACAATGCCAGTACAGTTTTTTTGTATGAACTTGCTACATGATTTTTCTTTTGTCTATATAATAGGCCATTATTAAAATTTCATACCGCTGTGTAAGTCTGTTTTTAACGTGCAAAGCGAGAAAAGTAGCTGTGAAGCGGGCAAAGGTCAAAGAGGTTCAAAGCGATCAAAATCCAAGATGTGTTGTGTTATAACCGTAATCTAATGTTCAAGGCGGTAGGACTATCCAGTTTGATCAAACCTCAAGTGTTTTTACAATTTAAATAATGATATTAACCTGGAAACGTTGTTTCTGCGTTTCAGCTAAAATGAAGTCTTCAAGTTGTGGGTCAACAGTTTCTTTTTCGTTCATAATCAGAAGAACTTCAATATAATAACTTCTTCGTATTATTAACGAAAGATAATTAACAATTTCACTGAATTTTATGAAAAATTACACCGAACCGTATGACAAAAGCCAACAAGAACAAGAAAAAGACAAAGTTTGACAAGTGGTCGAGCGCCATCTATTTACATTAAAAACTAAACTTCCTTTCCTAATTAAAAAGGATGTACACACGTCATTCATCACATATATTTGTATTTTGATCATTCATTTGTGTTATAGTAGTCAGTGATTTTGCTTGTTTATAAAATGAGTAAATATATAGAAGGTTTGATTATCAAAAAGATTATTATTATTCCACAAATCATGAAATAATAATTCACACAGTACGAAAACCTTGTATCTATCTGTCAACTCCTGTCAATGGTCTGTCATTGTTACCTGTCAAGTGGTAATATCAAAACGGCATCTCATTCCGGTTTGTTTTTGTTGTAAATATTTTAAATAAATCACATAAAAAATCTTCAAAAATGAGTCCTAGTCACTATTGGAAGTTTATCGATGAAGTAGATTTATCGGGATATAGTTTAATAGTCCCCAGTGTAGCCGTGGGTAACGTTGGTCAACTTGCATGTGACTTGCTTATTTCGTCTTTGAAGATGAAGAAAATCGCTACAGTGTACAGTCCAGCGCTCATACCAGTTCTAGGATATGATCCGTATGATTTAAAATCGAAGAGTTTGTCAAGTTCTTGTGAAGTGTACATCTGTGTTTCAAGTAAAATTATTGTCCTACAAATAAGGGCACCTTTGGTTTACAAATTTGCACAATCATTTCTTGAAAATATAGTAGAAACGTTTACAGAAAAAAATGTTAAGAATGTTTTACTTTTGACTAGTAGTTACGCCCATGAGAAAAAACATATAAGCACTTCACCATTTCGCTACATCTGCACAGAATCAACTTCCTTTGACAATGAAGTAAACGAATTAAAATGGACTAAACATGAACAAGACGAAGGAAGACTGAAGATTTTTGGTGGTGGTTTTGCATCAATGCTTTTTGAAATATGCAAAGAAAAATCATTCCCATGTTTTATACTTTATAAATTCTGTTCCGAAGGTGATAATAGCCCAGATGCATATGATATGATTTATCATTTAAATAAAATATTACCAATATTTAGTCAAGACAAAGATTTCTTCACACAGTTGACACCACCTGTTTCATGGAAACTCTTATTTGGTAGACCGCCACCTAAAGATATTTATTAATAAAATTGTTCTTTAACTTTTTTTATTTTACTTATGTCCTATGCTCATACATTTATGGTGTCAGAAAAGAATATCCATTCTTAATGAATTACTGCAGTATTGTATTGTTATTTGTAGGGTTTATACAAAAATTATGGCTGCATTTTCAAAAATAATTTTAATTCTAATGTATTTGTCATATTCTAATAATGGAAATACCTATAGTAATTTAGACCATCATTGTATTGATAAAGGTAATTATAGACACAGTTATGTCAAGTAGATCAATGAGAAACTAAAGTAAGGCAACATTGAGTAACCCATGACATAATGCTAGTCATAATCTCATCATACTTATATGTGAAAGTTTAGATGGATGGGTGTTTGTTAGACTTTGTAGCCTAAAAGGCTGAACAGCTCTGGATGAAATTTGGCATAGATGTAGAACATAGTCTTGAAGTACACATAGGCTTCTAACTTTTGCTTTGTTTTTTTTTTTGGTTTTATTCTAAGTTTATATATCAACTAGCTTTTGCCCGCGACACCGTCCGCGTGTAATGAAAAAAAAAACAAAAGTGACTAGCCTATGTGTTCTTCCAAACTATCCTCTACATCTATACAAATTTCATCAAGATCCGTCCAGCCGTTTAGGCTATAAACTCTAACATACATTCATCCATCTAAACTTTCGCATTTATAACATTAGTAAGAAGTAAGATTCAAGGTAGAAGTAGCTTCACCGAATAAATGAAATCCATAATCTCTTATGAATACAAGTGCTGTTTTACGTTATTTTTAATGTAAAGTAACTTTGTCATGTTGCTTAATAAGGACACATAGTTTATTTAAGTTGCAGTCACAGTACCGTAATACTAAACACTAAAGTTGTTGAGACGATAACGGTAATATATTCTGATGATAGGCGGCCTTAACGTCCCTCGGACCCACCATTAACGTTTATTAGGAGTGTACTGTCGACTATTATAATAATGAATACGTAAGTTTTAAATATAAATGTATGTATATTTGTCTGTCCAGGCTGATTTTTTATAAGACAAGGCGATTAGGAATTTGTTTTCTGATAGCCCGATAGGCCGATCGATCGTACCAATGCTATTTTTCCCATTGAGTTCCATCCACCCATTGAGACTTTGAGATTGTCTTTGTAATCAATTAAAAAAATAAACTGACATTTTAAAAGCCCCCTAAGGCGGTACCAGGCACCGAAATCGGTGAACGATGTAATTAAAAGTGAACGCTCCAACAATAAAACACACCTCTTTTTTAAGGGTTTTGAAAATTCAGTACAATTTTTATTAACGAAATCTATAAAATAATAAAAAAAGAAACTAATTTTATATGTAGATTTCCGTAAGTTTTCACTGTCGAAAATCTTTTGTACAAACTTATTGTTTCTATTTTTACAAATACAAAATTTGAGGGACGATAATATTGTTAAAAAAAATTATTTCACAACTAACGTTCTCATCAACGACAGTATTGTTTATCTATGGAATTATGTCTTTGGGACTCAGCACAATGAGAGTAAATTGCGCGAGATACGTAAAGCCATTATTTTAGCTCGTAACAGTTTATTTTGAAAGGAGCTTTACAATTTGCTGATTGCTTTAAGTTTTTTGCGAATAAGCGATTAACTTAAGCGTTAAGTAAACGTGTATATTGATAGTTTTACCTTATATTCAGAGAGTATATAATGTTTATGGTAAAGGATATCCATCCATAAATCAATACTACAGTGAGTTTAGGGTACGTAAATGTTGTCTCACGAAAGTCGGCAAATCAATTATACATTTGAAGAGGTATAAATTGTATATATTGGTAGTTTGCATAAAAGTGCAAGGTGTTTTATAAAAAAAAAGAAAGGTACGTAATCGGACCGTATACGAATTGTAACGTTTCGGTTCTTGTTGGAATAAAATGGGAGCGGTTTAATCAGGCGACGGAACGGCAACCGGGGCTCATTCAACCACCTAATTACTAACAATGACAGGCTATTAGGCAGCACGGCAGATTGGATTGCACGTTTTATACCCTTCTATCCAATATAAAGGTGTTTCGTTTAAATTTAATAGGGAACATTTGTTTTATCCACAATTCACCGAGATTTAAATATAAGAATTGTTACATATTTTTGCCCGCATGACAGGAGAATAGCTTTTCCCCACCATTTACATTTATTTATGAAAGTATGAATGTAACGTGTTTTTCATTGTGATTTATAGCCTAAATAGCTTGGCTAGCTAGGCTTCATCGATTCGTATTTATATATAATACTTTTCATACTAATATTATAAATGAAAAAGTTTAGATGGATGGATGTTTGTTAGAGTTTGTAGCCTAAAAGGCTGAACGGATATCGCCGAAATTTGGTGTAGATCTAGAGGATAGTCTGGAAGAACACATAATCTACTCACTTATGTTTTTCTTAAATTCCACGCGGACTGAGTCGCGGGGGAAAACTAGTATTTAATACAAGCTTTCACCCGCGACACTATTCGCGATGTATTAATAAAAATAAAAGAAGGTAGCCTTTGTGTTCTTCCAGACTATCCTCTTTATCTATGCCAAATTTCATCCAGATCCGTTCAGCCTTTTAGGCTACAAACTCTAACAAACATCCATCCATCCATCTAAACTTTCATATTTATAAAATTAGTAAGATGTAAATGTTACCCAGCAAGCGGTTAACATTAGATTTATAAAAAAAATGGCAACATTTTTATATTTATCTATAGTATCGTAGTTTACTCTGAATATGATACATTACGGCAATGTTACAAGAGATTTCACCATAATAGTCCTTAATGGTGACTAATGCGATACGTTATGCGAGGAAAGCTCGTGTGATTTACTTCCGTTCTCTTGGAATTACACATCCATTACAAATAATGCAAACTTCCTGTTATTCTGCACTCGGAGACACATTACGTCACATTTGTTCATACGTTTTATTTATTCACAACATTTTTTCGGTAAAGATAATTATTGAGCCAATTTAAATAATTCTTTTGTAATAATAGACCTAATTTTTTTTAAATATACTGTATCCACGAACAGACTTGTTTTTATTGTTTTTACTACGCTGACCACAGATGCCGTACCAACTGGAAAACTATCTATTGAAATAAGCGGTATTAAAGTTACATTTAGAATGAAAACATTTGCCAATGTTAACCACTATTGCTTAGTTTATAAATGTTTATACGTAGCTTAAACTGGAATATCACGATAGTTTTAAAAAAACATTTTAAATGGACTATGAGTTTATTACTTCTTCTACTTTTATATCGTTTTATATATTATTTAGTATCATAATATTGCAGGAAAAGCATGCCAGTCTTTAGCATACATAATTTGGTGCTGGTGCTACTATTCTGCGAGGGCTTCGTTCTTTCCCTATTCTTTCGCTCATTTACATGTTACAAGCAGAATTTAGTTGGAACGTCGCTTCATCCTTTGTACGCGAACGACAACATTTTTTAAAGACAAAAACCTTTTTCCGGTGAATAAATCTAAACTAATATTATAAAGATTTGTAGTGTTGGATTTTTGTAATTTTGTTTGTATTAAAATAACCCAAAAACTACTGGGCCAATTTTAAAATTGTTTCACCGTTAGAAAGGTAATTTATCTGTGAGTAACATAGGCTATATATTTTAACGTGAGCGAAGTCGCGAGCAACGGCTATATTCAATATAGTTGCATTGTATCAATCAAATTCAATCTTGTCTGAGACAAAATCAATGCTTTTAAGTCAGTTAATCCTTGTTATCTAATATTGACGTATTTGAAATTGTATTAGGTTTCAAACCTCCCCCTCCAACCTCCGCCGCGTCGCAATCCACTCAGTAACTGATTTGAAACGCGATAATCAGTTTTCGCGACTAGAAAATTACATTTTGAACGTCAACTTTAGTAATAGGCGGTGTTAAATTTCATTTCAAATGAATTCCAACTGGATGTTAAACTCAATTACTTTTAAAGTGATTCAATACAATAATTAATTTGTTATTAATTAATTTACCACATTTTTTTTCCTTTTTATTTTGTTTTATATGTGAATTTGCGGTCTTGTGAAAATACCTTAATGTGTTGTGTGGCATCACCTTTATCAAACAGAATGAGATGTTATTTATGAGTAATTATCGATGGCCCAATGAGCTGGAAAACTTGTCTGCCATGTGGAAACCCACGTCACCTTGTATGACGTGTTATTAAATCTTTTGCTATTAAATTGTTTCTTTTATTACTTGGATTGTTTTCATAATGTTTGTCAGTTTTATTTATAAAACATTTAAAATTGGAATAGCTTGTTTACCGTTTGCACAACTTCATTACACAGGAAATGTACTCAGGATGTTTCTTTTATAGACAAATAAATAGTTACGGCACGTGTTGGCACTCGGAAACAGATTTCTTTACTAACCGAATTTCGAGTTAATATTTGCTTTTGGCAATAATTTCCTCTTGAATCCAAGGAAAATGAAAAACGATATTTATAGATTTTATTACTTGTGCTTGCATAACTACACATCATTTGATAAAACTTTGACAGGGTATTTCTAGGACACCAGAAAATGTTTGTAGTTCAAAAATTCTAAAAAATGTTTTTAAAACGATCTACAATAGATTTTCTTCATATTAAAACATCATAAAGTTGGTTTATACTTGTACTTGAAGTGTATAAAAATTCATGAGAAAGCCTAAGCGCTTACTATAACTTTATCTAAATGGTTCTTTCACGCTAGTGTTGAGCATTCTATAATACGTGTTATCGTTTCGGACGATTTATAGCATCACTCTACACCCGGACCCCTATTTGTCGCTCACTGATATGTTATCTGGAACTTTGACAGATCATATAAATGTATTTTAGGCAGGATATCCTTTTCAAATATTTGAATATTAAATTTTATCTCTATTATATGCAACTGTGGCATCTAAAAATCATGAAAAGTAAAAAGTTTTGCGGATTCTCGTCTTTGATGTAATCTATACTATATATTACTATATTACTATAT